AAATTAAAGATGAATATAAAATAAGAGACCAAAAACATGATTAATACATTCTAATATCATCCTATAAAATCATTAATCCACATGGTTCTCTAACTTTTGCCCATCCTATCATCCTTCAAAACTTATTTCTACTCTACATTTTTAAGAACTATATATGTAGGGGTGGGAAAATTAAATTGCACTAAACTGAACTGTTAAAAACTATATTAAACTAAAAAGTAGTTCAATTAAACTGAACTGAAAATTAGATTACACAAACTGAATTGAACTATTTTTTATTCTATTAAACTGTACTTTACTAAACTATACTGAACTATAATATGAACTAAATATACCTTATGCGGTGGGCATTTTCAGGAACCCTTGGCAGTGGGCATTTTTGCATTTAGCTTATACGGTGGCTAGTGTGAGCATTTTTGCATTTACCTTATGCGGTGGCTGGTGTGAGTTACTTGCAGAGGGATTCCTAATAGCGTCTCCACCTAAAGATCTATTACTACAAGAGCCAACCCCGTGCCGTGCTTTTATTTTTTATTTGTAACTTATAGTTAACCGAATTGTAACTTAAATAAGTTCAATTTTTTAAAATTGAATTAAAAAATAGTTTAATTTAGTTTTAGTTTTTTAGTTTAAAATAATTCAGTTATTTAATAGTTTTAGTTTAGTTTAGTTAATTTTGCCCGGCCCTAACTATATGTTAGTCTATATTTTGTTATTTTAAAAGTCATTGTTAGATTAAGTATGTACTTAGTGTTTTGAAATAGCTTTTTTTTTTTTGGCTCTTTTCGTTGGATTGTCGATTCAAATGGTATACAATTCTCAAGCTCTATCAATAGATGAATAAAGATTATTGACATGTTTTAGAACACTTTACAATTACAAACACCCTAGCATGAAGTCTTGGTTGTTTTAAGCAAAAGAATTATCTAAATGTTATATGAGTGCAAAAGTTAAAATTAATTCCAAATTGAAGGATTTTTTATTGGCTTTTGTCATGCCATTAGTAGTAGCAATCTTAAGTTGGTCTAAAAGAGTCTTAATAGTTTGTTTGGATGAACGAAAAATAAAAGAAAAGGGTAATGACAATATTGAAGCAAACCCTTTTACTGTATAGTCTAATTTTTCTAACAAATTCCCTTTTCATTTATGTGAAAAGGTGTGCTATGTTGTGATAATATCGTATCATGACCAATAATTACTTTACCATCTGTCAATGCCTAGAGCCATCTCTATCCAAATTTATTTCTAGGTGATCCTATAAGCAATAAAACTAGCATCAAACATAGGACTTGGAGTTGATTGAATACATGATGTTCCTGCGTAGAAACACTCCTCTTGTCGTTCTTCCTTCTTAGTCTTCTAAGTCTTCGGTGCCGACCGAATACTATTTCCATGAGGTGGGGAGGGTACCTGCAAAGGCACTCCAACGATCAAGTGAGTATTCGGTATAGAGCAATAAGTGCTTTTATATTGGATAATACGTACCTCATTTATGTCACATCACATGTGTATAATTATAAAGACACAATTGGGCCTGGTGGGCCCTCAGTCTTGGGAGATGGTAACATTTGAGTTAACCTTAATCTCTTCTATATCAGGCATGGTAATTATTGCATAATAAGTATCTAATTTGCCATGTGTTCTTCATGAGCTGTTCTTTGTTGGTCTTCGGCTAGGCACAAGGCCGAAGGGGGTCTCGACTTGACCCTGTACCGAGCGAGTGTTCGGCCTGCTAGGGGGTCGAGGAGGTATTCGGCCTGGCCTGGCACCGAAAGGGTATTTGGCTTGTCATCAGTGGTAGTTGGTGTCTGGCCTACCCCTAGGCCGAGGAGGTGTTCGGCCTGCCCCAAGGCCGAGAAGGTGTTCGGCTTAGCTCCATGCCGAGAAGTTTTCCTCATGGCCAAGGGGTTTGCTGGGTGCCCACCTCTCGTGGTAAGTCTTGGGGCGGCCCTTTGGCCGAGGGGTGTACTCGGCAAGGTTCCTAGCCAAAAGGGTGTAGTGGTGTGTTCCATCGATTCGGGCGCCCTTATCGACCTATTATCTGACCGAAGGGGTACCTACTAGTACATTGTGTTTTCCTCGGTTCGGGCACCCTTATCGGCCTATTGTTTGACCGAAGAGGTGCCTACTAGTACACATGATAAATGCATCATGCAATGATAAGAAAGGCATTATTCTTTGAAGGCATGCAACTCAAGTTACATTCAATGGAATAATTGGATAAAATGTAACCACACACTCAACTTCTTTGTAGCATTTTCTATTTTCGCCTTTTGTTCCTTTTCATTTTCCCATGATTCTGTTTTTTAGTGTGGTTTGTTATAAGAAGTGTATAAGAAATATAAGATGAAGAAATTTGAGGAAAAATACAAGTAGCACCAACATATTATAGCCATACATTATAAGGCTCAAAATATAGAAGTAGAGTGTCATAGAAAATCATAATTGATTGATACAAGATAAAATAGGGTGTACATGCTCTATTTGTATTGCTAACGAACTAATAATTAGCTTATTATTCTAACAAACTAACTACTCTCTAAACCCCCCTCATATGTGATAAGTGGTATCACCACAATCACCTTGAATTATAGGCACCTTCAATTACAAAAAAATAAAATATGTAAAAAATAGTAGTTAGTTTATTCAAATAAGTAAAAAAGAAAAATATTAACCCCAAAACAAATTCCTTTTAGGCTCAAACTAGCACCACTTATCCATTCCATCGTGTTTGATTCATGCTTAACCAATAGTGTGTTGTTGCACACTTCTCCTCAAGGACCATGATGTGAATCGACACTCCATACACCAACATGTTTGATACTTAGTATTGCGACACCCTCTACCTTGCATACTGTAATACTTGAAATAAATAAAAATAAATCAAGAAGTCTATCATATATGAAAATTCGTCGTGTTCAACATAGAGAGTACCACATGTTAACCTAAACAAAACCCAATTGAAATTACAATGAAAATGAACAATTGTCTCAAAACATAACAAGAACAACAACAACAATAAATTCCTAACTAAATCATGATATCATATCCTATTAGAGCATAACTCATCTATGAAGACTAAGTCTCATCACCAACATCCTCAATATCATGTTGAAGATCACCTGCAACAACATACAATAATGACAAACACAAACAAAGGGAGTGAAAAACATCTTACTTTGGCTAATGATGTAAGATACAGTCAGACAGACAAACATAAACAAGATATAAATATATACATAACATAGACAGATTGGTAACAATAACAAATTTCCCTCATTCACGACATATTTATTAAATACCAAATAACATTAAGATGCATTATGTAATGAACACGAACTATATGTTATCATACATGTGGTGTTAGTAAAAACATTACATATCACACCTGTGTATTGTTGCTAGCAACACACGCAGATGATTTTTGCATTGAGCCAAAATTAGTTATACAATACATAAATAAATTACCCAAATTAAATGTAGTTAACAAACTTGCACTTGATTGACGTAATGAGCCAAGTAATTTTGTTTTGGTGAATTTTTTAACTTTTCATTGATATAATTTTGAGACTCTACTTTTTTATTCCTTGATTTTTGTATGGATTGGAGCTCAAAACATCCATACAAGTCACAATGGTTGAGCTCTTTATTTTTTTTATTCAAATATCTAAAATATACAAAAAAAAAAGTTATTTGTGAATGAACCATAATTAAATAGAAAATGACACCAAGAATCATGTACTTACAATAGCCATAATTGTATAATTGAAATGTTAAGTGTACTAACCATAAAGCATTGTTTAACGTTGTATTAATTAATTCATTTATATCTTGGAATGAAATATACAACATAAAATCATGATCGTTAATACCAAATAGACTTATCGAACATGTCACTCGAAATAGTTAAGTTGGGTAAGTAACAAACTTAAAATAAAAACATGTTAAATAATTTTTATATTAGTTGGACAAGTCACCTAAAACAGTGGCCATAAAATAAGGATGTGGAAGAAAATATGCACAAAGTTTTGATGATGCCAAATGGGGAACTTGATTGGTGTTTGCAATGTTGATTGGGGAGTGTAGTTGTCCAATGTGTGACTCTGACTCTGTTGCTAAATTTGGTGTTTCATTTTTTTTCTCCCTTTGTAATTTGGGGTGTAGGTTAGATCCCTCCACTCATTTGAGTCAGTGTGATTAAGATTTGAGAAACTGCGATTAAGTAGGTGGCTTAAGTGATTGTTAGTTATGTACGTATGATGTGAGTTTCGATTTTGCAGGTATGCTTGTTGTGGCTATAAATAATATTCGTTCATTCTTCAGCTTGTATGAATTACATGCATGCTGTCGGATTGAGAAGTTGGTAAAGTACTAAAGTGTATTTCAGGGATATATAGATGATACCTCTAGTGTGTGGTTTTAGGTCCTTTGGAGTGTGTGGTTGTAACTGGCTAACTGCTATGGTGTGATTCTGAAATAAAGAGGGATATTTTGAGATATGGGCACTGGCTAGTAGAGGTTATTATGATATGATAACGACGAATGTGATTGGGTATATATTTCTTTCTAGGAAAAATTAGAATTGAAATCTATGGTGTTGTTTGTTGGCGCTGGATTCACAGGCCTACTCCCAGATAATTTAGGATTTATTCTAGCCAGGTTGTATTATAAAATACTTCTCTGACTGGGTATGGATTGGTCATTTGGTTGGCAGGATTGGTCATTTGGTTGGCAGGCTTGGTCCCAGTCATGTGAAATCTTAATTCTGGTACTAGTTTAGTAGACGGATGTTTCATTGTTCTCTGTCATGCTTACAAAGATGAATTGCTTGACAAAGAATACCTACAGGAATTTAGGACTTAAGAGGAAGTATGAACAAGTTTATTAGGCATGATTAGTGCTCAAAGCAATGGGACATGTGACAGGACAGGAGTAGTTACTAGCCATATTAATGGGCTGGTTATTGTTTATGTTTTATGGGGAACTTGATTGGTGTTTGCAATGTTGATTGGGGAGTGTAGTTGTCCAATGTGTGACTCTGACTCTGTTGCTAAATTTGGTGTTTCATTTTTTTTCTCCCTTTGTAATTTGGGGTGTAGGTTAGATCCCTCCACTCATTTGAGTCAGTGTGATTAAGATTTGAGAAACTGCGATTAAGTAGGTGGCTTAAGTGATTGTTAGTTATGTACGTATGATGTGAGTTTCGATTTTGCAGGTATGCTTGTTGTGGCTATAAATAATATTCGTTCATTCTTCAGCTTGTATGAATTACATGCATGCTGTCGGATTGAGAAGTTGGTAAAGTACTAAAGTGTATTTCAGGGATATATAGATGATACCTCTAGTGTGTGGTTTTAGGTCCTTTGGAGTGTGTGGTTGTAACTGGCTAACTGCTATGGTGTGATTCTGAAATAAAGAGGGATATTTTGAGATATGGGCACTGGCTAGTAGAGGTTATTATGATATGATAACGACGAATGTGATTGGGTATATATTTCTTTCTAGGAAAAATTAGAATTGAAATCTATGGTGTTGTTTGTTGGCGCTGGATTCACAGGCCTACTCCCAGATAATTTAGGATTTATTCTAGCCAGGTTGTATTATAAAATACTTCTCTGACTGGGTATGGATTGGTCATTTGGTTGGCAGGATTGGTCATTTGGTTGGCAGGCTTGGTCCCAGTCATGTGAAATCTTAATTCTGGTACTAGTTTAGTAGACGGATGTTTCATTGTTCTCTGTCATGCTTACAAAGATGAATTGCTTGACAAAGAATACCTACAGGAATTTAGGACTTAAGAGGAAGTATGAACAAGTTTATTAGGCATGATTAGTGCTCAAAGCAATGGGACATGTGACAGGACAGGAGTAGTTACTAGCCATATTAATGGGCCTTGAGGCCAGTGAATTCCATTATACCACTAATCATTTTCTAAGGATAACTTTGTAAACCAAAACTTGAAGTTCTTAGACTTTTCATCTTCTTTATTCTGAGAAGCATTAGAAACTAGAATGATGAGAACCTTTTTTCCAGTATTTTGAACTCTTTCTTCCTTAATTTGGGATTTTGTACGACAATTTTAACATTTATTTGGAATATGCCAATAGAGAGCCTAAGAAATTAAAAAAATGAGTCTATGACTCTTGTCACTGTTGATCTGATAATGTTGCATTTACCGTTGTTATTACTTTTATGTGTAATATGCAATTATTTATTTCCCTTAAAATTTTTAAATCATGAAGAATACGATTATTTCATTTTATAAAAGTTATCCCTTTGGCACTCCCAGTCTCAGATAGCAAAAGGAACTTATCTGGCTGTTTGAGAGGGAAAATCATCTGTTTTTACTGACTTCTACTTGAGAAGTATGGTGATGAAGTCAGTTCGTTTAGTTAATTTTTTTCTCAAGGGAAGGAAAAGTGCAGTATCAAGATTTGCAGCCACCTTTATTTTGTGGTCCAGAACTCCAGCTTAAACAGAAGCTGTTACCCTCATTACTTTTTGTTGTTTATATGGGGGCACATTGTATGCTTACATTACTTTCTTGGGCCCAAAATTTATTTCTTCATTGACACACTTCTGTTTCCTTGACATATGGTAGGCATGCTGTTTTATCTCATGCTGACGTTAAGGTTGTTTGTTCTGCTGTGACAGGTTTATGGAGAAGATGAATGGTCATTTGGATTCTGTGAGCAGGGTACCGGAGTTTTTAGTTGCCCGTCTGGAAAGAATCCAATGTATACATATCGTGAATGCATTGTTCTGGGGAAAACAAACTCTTCCATTTTCAAGGTAAATCAGATACTGAGAGAACTCAGTAGAGAGTGGCCAGGGAGTTCATATGATCTGCTTGCCAAAAACTGCAATCACTTCTGTGATGAATTCTGTGAAAGGCTTGGTGTACAAAAGCTTCCAGGTAAATGCCTAACTATAATGTTGCTTTTATGATGTTAATTGTTATTTTCTTTGCTAAATGATGACATAGTGGTATTTAGGGATATATTACGTAAATTCTATGGTACGTTTGAGGCCTCTGGAATTGGGCTAGTCCAATCAAACCCAGTCATGGGCCTTCAGTTTGGAAGTCATATAGAATAAGAAATAAAAGGGAGCTGGCGCAGGGGGGCAAAATGGGAAATAGAAATGGAAATTAGAGATCCCATTTGTATCTCCTTTATATGAATTAGGAAGACTGGTAGTGGAGCTGTGGGAGTTAATTGTTATGCTTTTCTTATGGTAGAGTGGAGTTGACTTTGCTTCGTGGGTATTGCAGAATTCACCTGCAATACATTCTTCTTTCTGAATACAGTTTTTCCACCATTTACTGATTCTGGACAGTATGCTATATTTTACCTGTAAAATTTCTGTTTGAAATATTGTTTCTCCAAATAGAATGATACTTATCTTTGAGGAAACTCAATTCCAATTAGATATTATATGCACATTATCATAACCTGAGTTCCATTCAATTGCCTTTTTTACTAACTTTTTATGGAGAGGAAGTCGAGATTTGGGATATGGTATTGTCAACACGATTAGAGTTACAGGACAGGGTGAGAGATGCTTAGATATGAAGAGTGGACCTAGGTAGTTTCCCTAAGTTCATAAGTAGACGATGCTCTCAAAGAAACTGGGAGTTATTGGATTTTAGGGTAGATAGATAATTTTGGACTTTTCATTTTAAATTTATATGCCAAGTGAGGGAGGCTTAAGTATTGATCCATCTTGTGAACTATTGCCTTCGTACATTATTTTTTTTTATCACTGTGTGCTCATACAGCTTCCATGACAGGTTGGGTCAATAGGTTTGCCAATGCTGGTGATACTGCTATGGAAGTGGCTGGAAATACAGCATTACGGGTAAGAAACAATATTCAGAATTCTCTAACTTGTCTTAACTACATAGAATTGTTCTCTTCACAAGCGGGCTGTTCTTGTGATTTTGGCTCGAGCACTTCTATCACGTAGTTATGAGCATTGACATATTTTGAGAAACTCTAAGTTGCATGATGATAATGCCTTGTTATTGCAGTTCCGGCAAGCTAAAACCGAGATTGTATCAGCAAGCAAAGTAGCATACCGGTTCCTCCTAGGTGTTACAAATAATGTTGCCAATAATGTTAAAAATGGTCCGGAGTCCCCCAACAATTCAAACAGAGAAGGGTCTCCTAGATTTCAAGCTTCTTGGTTGAAAAATATTATTGCTAATGGTGCGAATGCGAAACCTTCTACCAGTTCAGAAGGTGAGAATCAGAATGGAGTTGTGCCTCTACCACCAACGCGAGAAGATGACAAGGTGTTGCTACATAGTTCATCTTCACATGATAGTTGAGGGAGTCTTCGTCAAAAGCTTAGTTACGCTGTGTAATGTAATTTGTAAGTCACAAAGTAAACGAAATTTTACGTGTTATTCATTTGTGTATCAAATGTAAAATTTTTCGTTTCTTGTTTAACTCAAAATCTTATTGGTTCCCCGTGAGACTATGTTCTTTGAAAGGCAATTGTACTCTTTTCTCCTCCCTCAGAACATGACTCTATCAAATTTAATGTAGACAGCTTCAGGGTAAAGACATGAATGATTTATAATTATTGCTAGTTTTGTGATAACGAAGTGTATGAGTAAAGTAGGCATTTGAATTCAAAACCCTCAGCATTTGAATTCTTGTGAAGTCACAGTTTCAGTTCATTCTCGTGCCCTTTAACCGACCAACTATTGGAAAAACAGAATTGGATGAAGACTCAATTTGAACACTAGTTATCAGGGTGGTAAGTGTGTTGTCTTTCATAGGTAACGTCTGGTTTATGATTGAAGACCTATCCATCTTAGAATATAGATAACCTAGAATTCAAGGAAAAAGAATTGGTGTTATTTTTCCAACAATAAATTTGAAATAAACTTCTGTATATAAGTATTTAGCCGACCTGGGCTAAGTTATACTATGTTAAACAATTTGTTAAAAGTGATGTTTTGAAATGTTTTTCAGGACTTGGTATTCATCGATTCAAAGCACAAGAATTTTGACAAGACAACATTCCCAAATAAGACATCTTATTCAGCAAAATAATATCACAAGTCTTGCGGTATTACAATTGAACATACACACGTCACATTTTATAATGCGGCTTATCCTTAGTAAGATAGTATGGACACTCCCCCTTGCCAGAGCCAAAAGTCAATGGCGTGAAAGCTATAAATTCGTGAACAAAAGGGTGTTTAGGATGTGTTTATTTTTAGTTGTCCTTACTGTGATGCTGCAGTGTTTACACACTGTTTCGTCATTCATTACCAGAATAAAGTAGGCTTATATATATCATCATTGTAGGCTTATATATATATATCATCATTATTATGTCATTTTCCATCATTGGAACTGAACCTATGTTGCATGTCTTTCGGTGATCAAAGTAATGCCAACCTACCCTTTCACAAAGACCCAAAGTATAAGTTTACACTTTTTTTTTTTTTTTT